TACATATGTAACTAAATTTCAACATCTCTCTCTAAGCTAAATATCACGATCGAAACTTAATAGTTGGTACATGTCTTTGAACATTGATTACCACATCGTCCGCTCGGAACTCGCAAGAAAAGCGAGAGAAATAGTCTGCGTTAACTTACTTCTTGTATCTCCTGCTTGTCGTCCTTCTTGGTAACGTGCTTGACATCTCTGCGGCTTCGTTTCGTAACTTCCGCCTCTCCACTCGCTTCCTTCGCCCAGTCGTTTTTCGTCTGCTCGATCTGCTCGGTTTCATTCACTCCCTTGGGCACCCTCACGACGCTCATGGTACCGTTTCCGTCGGTGATCACGACTTTGACGGTCTCGGCTTCGATGTCCTTGTTGAGATTACGCGGATCGATCGCCAGGTAGAGATCGTCCTTGCGGCCTACGTGATTGATCGTCGCGCATTGATCATACGGCACGCATACGCAATTCTCATACGAGGTGGAGCCGAAATCGCTGTCAAAACCGTTTCCTAAGAACTGATTATTGCCATCATTTCCTAAGAACTGATTATTCCCGCCATTTCCTAAGAACTGATTATTCCCGCCATTTCCTAAGAATTGATTATTGCCACCGAATTGTCCACCGGCGACGAACTGTTTGCCATTTGGTTTTTCGTAAACGGGATAGCGATCCGCGTAGCCTTTTACGGATGATGAGGAAACCGATGGGCCGCTGTTGCTCGTGGACGTTTTGATTTTGAACGCTTTCTTATAATCCTCGAAATCGTTGAATGTAGCGCCATAAGTGCCGCTGTTGCCGTAACCGTAACTCCCGAGGCCGCTACCACTGAGCGCGGGGGATGACACGGGGCCGTTGTGCACGATGCCAGAGGTTACACCGGCGTCCCCGTGATGATAATGATGATGAACGTGTTGCTGAACTCCCGAGGAAGTCGGTTGATGCAGCACCACCTGCTTCTTATCGATAAACTTGTCCTCGAAGTCGGGTTCGGCATCAATTCCGTGTTCGTATATAGGTTTGGACACGAAGGGGGGAGGGAGGCCGGGTTTCTTGTATCCAGGGTAAGGACCGACGAAGCTGGGTGGAGGAGGTCTACCGAACGTTGGTCCGAGTCCAGGATAAACATTGGGTCCCAGTGGAGAACCGAAGCTCGGAGGTAGAGGCACGGGTTTCGCTGAACCGTACGGGCGCTTCACGGGAATGGCCGGAAGTGGACGGCCCACTGGCTTGATGGTCACCGGTTGAGCATAAATGACATCGTGCGGGTGAATGTCACGGTGCGGGGAATAATAAGGACGCCGTCCTTCCGCATCCTCACACTAAAAAAATATAAAACTGTATATAAAAATATACAATAAAAATATCAATTTATTTTATATTAGAAACCATATAAAAATTATTATTTAGAACATAAAATGGTTTTCACGGGCTTTTAAGAATTTATGTGTTTTGTGTAATATTTGTAAATTAAACAGAAAAAAATTCGAACATTGTACTCGAATTAATAATGATTGTAAAGCGATACGTATAGGATACGTAGTTTCCGAAAGCTAAAAAGTTTATAGCTTAACTTTCAAACTTCTATAGGAAAGAAGGAAATTTAAAACTAATAATACTTTTACTAATAATATTAATAATACTAATAATACTTTTTATTGATTAAACTTATGAAACTATCATACTTACGTTCATCAAACCGAGAGAACAGAGCTTGTCCCTGATGTAAGTACGCGCGATCGTATCATTGCCAAGCTGCAAAGCATTTTTTACGTCAGGATCAGAGTAGATTTCGTCGTATCCTTCGAGATTGCGACCTTGTCGATTAGATACGAGAATATTATCGATCACAGACTCAATCTGTAATTGAATTTATAAACATATTCATAACTTTATAAATCATTTGATAAAACCGATATCTCTTCCATGTTTCTCAGTTGATCGCAAGACTTTATTGCATCAAAAGTTTTATAATCCCGATTTTTATCTTTGTATTAATATCTTAATATTTAATATCGAATATTTTGCAACAAAAATAAAAATAAATAAAAATCTTACCGATTGCTGACCGACAACGTCAGCCACTCCGCTGGCGCCCGATTGAACATTCGCGTTGTAAACCAATGATTGTTGCGACTCTTTCTGTTGCGTGTCGGGAGCGTCGAACGTGACGGGATGATACTTGTTCTGTCCTCCGCTCGAGGCTTGAATCAGGTCTTGATCTGTCTGCCACGGCCGCCATTGTTGTTGCGAAGAGTCACTCGGCGTCTCGTACACTTGAGTACCAAATACTTCTCTCACTATTGCCAAGCAGGCTATCAGGATGAATTGCGTCCTCATCCTGTAAAGGACAGACAAAGGGCTCAGTTTTATATCTGCTCTTTGAACCAACAGGCAAATCTTTTTCCCAACTTTACGTTTAAATCTCGTCGTTGTTTTCAGAAAAATTATTTAATATTTATTAAAATTTATTTTTTATACATAATTATATAAGCTTATAATTATATTCTATAAGCTTTATAAGTTTATGTATTTTAATTTACTATTATCATTTTACCGTTGTTCTTATTTTTTTCTATTATTATTTTCTCTTTATTATTTTAATTTAATTCCTGGCGTAAAGCGCCCGACGATTTTCTTCTCTCGAATCAAACTCTCGAGGATCTCTCGACAATTTCTCCATGAGTACCAAGCGCGGATCCACGTGAAAGTACATCTCGCCTTTCTCCATTTGGTCTTATTGTTCACAACGGTTCGCGGTACAACTACTTGGAAGCGAAACCGGGTCAAAATCATGGAGGATACACGTTTGATCTTTAGATTAATCATTCAGCTGCATTCTAAAATATTTTAATATTTGATTGATTCTCGAGAAAGCAAAAAGTCTTTATCGTTCACCGGAGTAACATTCTTACTCATCCACGTGTGATACCAGTTTCCGGTGTAACGGTACCGGCTAAGGTTGTCTCGCATGAAGACGCTTTACAGGCGTGTAATTAAGCCGACGGGGATCAACGAAAGCGAGAGGAAGTTGGGTGAAAGTCGTTTGGCCGGTTCGCGTTAACGTGACGTCTCTCGCCGGCGCCGAGCACATCTTCTTTCTCTCGTATTATTTATTCTTTCCAAAATCACCTCGTCAACACGGAGAGAGCAATTGCGTAACGAATGCGGTATGACGTCCATTCGGGCGCGGAGATTTAAATTTCAGATTAGGCAAAGTATTTCCATATACATGTGATCTAACGTTGCAATAGAATCTATTTTTTTTTTTTTAAGTGATTAATATGCGTGTTTATATAATAGAGCCGCTATATTCGACAAAGATATATGTAGCGTCTTTCGCTTACCGCCTACGACAGTGAAAGTGATTACGTGTTGTGTACGTGCAAATAATTTCAATATTTCGCTTTTCACTTGCCCTGACATCTCGTTATGACCGCGAATTCGCTCTTTGCGCGACTTTGATGCTCTATGACATTCGCGTACCGATGTTTTCTATATGACGTCCAAGAATAATGTGACTGGCTTTATATCCTCTTCAATCATCCTCGAACGTTTCTTACAATAAATTATCTTGAATGTAGGCCGACAATAGAAAAACAATTATACGTCCTAGATGACTTGACTCATTAAAAATTTTATGACTATTCTAAATCTCTCGCATCTCCTAATTTTTATTACTCAAAGCTCGAGCGCTGAATTTGTTCTTTATTTCCTCTGCCTTGAAAATAAAATATAATATTTATAAAGTGTCTAAATGTTAAAACGATGTATAAAAATTTCATATATCATTTTTATTATAAACCAAGTAATCAAATAAAAACTGATCGTCGATAGCCTTCTCTTAAAACTTCGTAGCAAAATATCGGGTCTTTAGCATATAATAGTGGGTCAGATATACTTGACAAATTCGCGAATCTGAATAGAGACAAAGCAGAGGCGGTATTTAAAGGAAGAGAAAGTTTTTATTATTCCACGATAGAGCGACACGCGTAGGCGAATACTTTTCACTCCTAATTTCGATAAAGTATTTTACGAGACATCTCTGCGTACATCTTTGCGCATTTAAGAAATATATCGGAGAAATCTCAATTTCAATTACTGAATAAACAGCGAATGAATGTATGCGAAGATTATATATTGCCTCGGTCAATCGGTAATCGATAAAAACGTTCCTTCTCGCAAACGTGGAAAAATTGCTTTCCCTCTAAAAAACAGTAGGTTTCTATTGGATTAGATAACAAGTCGCTCTATGATTAAACATGAGCTTTCATATCCATTTTTTACAATTTATATTCGGTTTGTAATTAAAAGCACAAGTCATCGTTACTTTGAAAATATTTGTCCATCTCTGAAAGAACTATCTACAGTTACTTCAATTAATACATTCCGTCTATTTCTATCTATTAATTTGGCAGCCAATAAAGTAAATGAATTCATAAACGTTAATATTGATGCACTCGGAAATTTTGTTATTTATTTATATTTTTCCTTCAATTTTTCAACTTTTGCAATTACTGATTGTATTGCCATTTGTTTTTGTTAATTTTTTTTTATATTTAATAAAATAAACAACAAAGTGAGCTCTCAGATCACTATTTATAAAATATCGGAAATTGTTAGAGTCTGAATTGTTAGTTTGAAAATACATACCTGACTGTTGGTCTTCGCACTTGGAATGCGCCCGCAACAAACTGATTTTCTTGGTCCTCGAGCGCGTCTTATACTCGAACTCTCGCTCTCTAACCGAACACTTTCTCCCTGCACGACGGCGCGATCTGTGCTTTTACCGAAGTCCTCACGAATCTTATATACAAGTCGTCCCTTTCGGGGATGTTGGGCCCGTCGCGTGAACCACCGGTGGGGTAGATCCATGAGTCATTCGACAATAGGCGGACATCCGTCTTCGTGACGCTTCTTTGGCAGACGATAAAAACAAAGCGAACCTAGGAAAAAGTTTAACCTGGACAATATGCGTCACACCTGTCCCTTCTGTCTGTCGCACAAATACGAAAATTTGCACCATTTTTCTGTTTTTTTTTTTTTTTTTTTGCGGCTATGACTATTCTATTTTTAATCCACATAAATTGCGAATTGGTATCAAATGTATAGGTTGGAAATTGCATTTTACATTATTCTGTTATTTCCGTGACAGCATTTAGAATATTTATTTTTTATCGAGCAAATACGAAGAGAGTACAATGAACTCTCCAACGCGAAACGGCTGAAATTTACATTGGGGCTTTGGCTGAAAATTACACCGGATAATCCATTAATTCGGTACTGTGGAAAAGTAAAACAATGGTATATTTAACATGATTTCTATTAAGCGCATATCTTGATTTAACATTTGCAGTATCTAATTAAAAATTTCCTATAATTCTTAATAAAGATCCTGCGACCATGGAACATTAAATTATTTGGAGAGATTAATACTTGATTGCTCTATGATCGATTATGACGATTCGATATCCCATTTATAATTAAAAAATACATCGCAGCGATCAAATAAAGAAATTTTTAATTATTATGCATTATGTTTTACTTGCGTTCGTGATTAAAAGTAAAATTAAAAGACAAAATAAATGAAGACAGCAATAAAGTTTCAATATTCTCTGTGCAAATCGATTTAGTCTTCCAATCTTTCAAATAAATTGCTTTTTTTTAATAAAAAAATCGGTTGCGAATGTAAAATGCCATCAGGCATCGTTTTGTACGAATCTTCGTAAAATTGATTTGCACACGATTCCTGGAGAACACCGACTGGGTTTTCCTGGCAAATCCGGTGTTATGCAAGAGACAGAAACGTACACAAATACAAATGCTGAAGAGACTTGTCCTCTCTGGTACTTTTAATGCGTATTTTGTGAATGAATTATACCTTACGTAATTACGCTTTACGTCACTTTGGGCTTTTCGTCAATGAGATTACGTAAAAATTATCATTTAGTCGGGTCATCTCGCCAAGATCAAATAATGAATTTCTCTAGGACTTGATTCGAGGAAACTTTGATATTGATGTTGCAACCATGTACTCCGAAGTTAGTTTATAAATCCGCGATCACTGGCCTAGATTGTTCTCACAGTGATCGACAGTGACAGTATTAATATTTATTCCTGTAATTCATAGTCATGTAGAGTCCACGACGAATGCTGTCCACGTTCCGAAGATTCTTCTCACAATCTTTTGCCTCATACCTTTCAGAAGAAAAATGTACTGATCCGAATACTTTCTTCTCGCGGTCACGAGCGCATCGACCTTGACTCTTTGGATCATCAGGTCCGATATAAAATACTGATTTTCACTCTCAACCGCGATAGAAAGTGAAGAGGCGGACAACGCCTCCGTCTCCACGAGAAAATGAGTACGAGTATTACAGCCATTAATCAGACGCGATCACGATACGTAGCATAAAAAAAAAAAAGAGAGAAGGTGCTATTAGGGTTTAATTGCATCACCGAGTTGGCTACTTCTCGTAAATAACTGGGCTCTCCCGGAGAATCCGGGAGAAAGTACTCGCGCGTATATTCCAAGGGTCGCGATCGCATCAATGAACTTTTCCGCTTTTCAATAGGTTTGGGTCTCCCGGGGGTGTTTTTGTTCAATCGAATCCCGTAGATCCTCATTGCGGGAAAGTTGCCACGATTTCGAAAGACTTGCGTGAGAATTTTCAATTTTCCTTCGTACGCCACCCCCGACGCTTCCCGGGGGGGAGGGGGGGGGGGCGTGGAATCACTCGGAGACTCGAATGGAAACCGGAATCCTCAAAATGTTCCACTTTTTCTTTCTCGTCACGTATCGGCGGTCACAACCGTGCCAATTTCTTTTCATGTTTGCCACGCATTCCGTTATTACATAACAGGGATTTTCCGCGGCCTCTCGCAACACTGGGAATTTCGCAGATCACGCCGCGGTAAACCGCGCGTGAATTGTCTTGACCCAATTCAAATATCCTTCTTGCGTTTTCTTCTTTCTGCGCCGGAATGCAAATATATTCGATGTAGCGTGCAGACAATAACTTCACGCGACAGCGCTCACACGAGCGCAGATTAAGATTCATTCAAAATGCATAAAAAATATATATATATATTTTAATGCAAAATTACCTAAATTTCTTAATTTAAATTCAGTTGCGGAAAAAAGTCTTGGAAAAAAGTTAGTTTTACGAAAGAGAAACGATGATCAACTATGACTAAGTAACTTATTCGGGTTTGTTGACGAGGAGAAGCCGAAGGGGGAGAATGAAGGTTCAGAGAATAAAGACATTGACTTTCATCAAGTTCTTTTTTTTTACGTGGATGAGATTACACGATAGACGATGATTATCGATGAGGAGACAAACTGCGAGTTGCTATGTATACTTCCACACGGGCTTTAGTGAGGTCGTCGGCTACCGGTCCGATGATTTTTGCGGTCAGTAGGTAATATGGTACCCATGCTGCTCGATCGAGTAACTCGACGGGATCTCCGCGATCGGCGCGGAATAATAAGCGTATGGCGATACCTGAAAACAGCGAAGAAAAGGAGATAAAAAATTGTATTTTTCTGTAGAAATGAGAAGGAAAAATATGTATAATTTCATACATGTAAATTTTACAAATTTACATGTATGAAAATTTTTAAATAAACCAATTTTTTTTAATGAAATGCTCGATTTTTTAATTGAAGCTATTGGCAACCCACTTGTGATTGGTTCCACTTCTTTCGAGCATTCTCAACACTCTCGAATAGCTGCACTTAGATTTTCGATATACTTACTTGTGAGAGAACGGGTGCGGCATAGGCGAGACGAGAAACTGGTGCGATTACTGGTGTTGCAAGCGGGGCGATTGGCGCGACCAGCGGGGTGAGCTTGGCGGTTGACGCCGGGGTTTTCAGCTCGGAAATGACGGTGAGCGGTTTGGGTGCCGGCGCTGGCGCGGACCACGCCACGCCGACGAGAATAGCGAGGAGGATCTGCAAGTAATCGTCGTGAGGGAAAAACTCGTTTAAATTGGAAAACTTTGGTGCGCGCGGCACGTCGGCGAATATTAGTAACCGTTGGACCGCACAAAGCAAATGAGTCTACGTGAGGCAAATATCGTCGCGGGAAGACGCCCCCTTCGTCGCTGTTCAACGCGAACGGTGAACGAGCACGGTGAATCGCGACTTTTCGAAAACTTCGGTATGTATAATCACGAAAACAACAAGCATTATCATGAGCATTATAATTTTTAATTTAATGTTGAAATTCATTTGCAGATGCACTTCGCGTCTCCCGTAGAATACCGTAGATTTACTTACGAGTCGCAGCATGACGACTTCTCGGGCAAGGATTCTGCGCGGATGCACTCGGGAACGATACTTCGTATAAGTGCGCGCGCCAGCCTGGCCTCCTCGTACTTATAGAAGTCTCGGGGGATGCCGTAAAAAGTAGACTCGTCCAGCACTACAAAAGTTCCTAACTGCCGTACCACCGCATTCCTCCCCGGTCTCAGGGACGGACAAGGCTCTGATTGCGATACGGCGTATCCTAGTTCCAGAATGCACCGTCTGCGTTATATTCTACTCCTAAATTAACTGTAATTTACAGTCGCGTTTATAATATATTTTGTAACACAGATAGAGAGAGAGAGAGAGAGAGAGAGAGAGAGAGAGAGAGAAGAAGAGAAG